TCAACCATTTGTAGTACCACTTGGTAAGTCGATTATGTGTTTGTGCTATTCATTCAAGCCAATCCAGATACTATTACTACTACTTCTACTCTTGTTCCTTCTGCTACATCATCGCTCTTTACTACTATACACAATCATTCCCTACTACTACACAGTCTACACCATCATCTCCTACTATGAGCAACAGTAATGTTGCAAGTGCAGGTTAGCTACAGTGTATATCGACTATTATAATTTTCTTTATGTAATCTAGTGGCCATGTCATTATTGAGTGTCATCATAGTATCACTAATAATAAGTCTTACTATATCAGTAGTTTTTTTTCTACAAAAGGAAAGTATATACAGATCTAGTAAGTTTTTTATATTGTGTACTCTTATTTGTTCTATGATATTATTACAGGAACTGCCTCATTACAATCTCAAATAGTAACTACTTCAAGCAAGCAGTTTCACACTGTAATGACTAATGATGATAATTCAGAAGAAAGTCCTTGGCCAGGAGCGGTCCGTGTACTTTTCCGAGAATCTCTTCCAAGAATGTAATTAATTTTATTATTTTAGTAGAAATAACTATATTAGGGTTTTTTAAAATAAAAAACTTATTGCCATAAAAATTTTACATACACACCGAATCAGCAATACCTTGTGCTCCTGGCAATACATTTATTTGATTAATAATTTATCTATGATGAATACCGGATGTTCTGCCAGCCCCTCCATCCTGCTAGATCTCGGCATCTTGCAGTTCCAAAGAGAATATCATGGCTCTTTCTAACATTGGGTTTTGTTTCCAGTCATTCCTGTGTCTTTATTTTGCTACTGTAACTAATGCTGGTGAGTGGCAAACAGACTGCATGGTCTTGATATATAACGGTGAAGGTTGCGGGAAGGGCTACCAATACAAATGGTGGCCGGAGGGGCATGGATAGTGAGGGTATTAGTAAAAGCAAGAGTACATAAGGGTTAGAAACGAAAAGAAACGCCAAAATAGCAATCTCCCATTGTAGTTAGGAGTCCCCTAGTTGTGTTAGGACTGTCCCTAAGGTTGGTTTAGGGTTTAATTATTCTTCTACTAATGCTACTATTGTCACATTTCTTATATTGTTTTATTTGTATTTTTTTTTGGCTTGTGGCTTCTTGGCTACTTGTCCTTCAGGTACTCTTTCATAACCCCTATTTTTTGTCCTTCCCACTTCTTACCTGTAAAGTGTTTAATAATAATAATAATAATTATTATTATTATTATTATTATTATTTTTTAATTTTAGTCCCCTAGTTTTGTTTTTGTTTTGGTTTCTTTCTGTTTTTGGTTTTGTTTTGTTTCTACTTTTACTACTACCCTGGATAGTGAAAAGGGTTAGTCGGGTCTGGTTCACACGAAATAATAATAGTAATGGTCTGGCTTGTGAGACTATATATTCTGTTGTCTGTTGAGTGTCAATTTTCTGCATAACCGAAAATCAATCATGATTTTGCTAAGCCTAAAAAAAGAAGATGATTCCTCATTCCTGTTCACAAAAATGGTTTGGTCAGGTACCCGCCCCATTGAATATTTATTTATAATAATAACAAGAGTAGATTATCTTTTCAAAACAAACCAAATTCAATGGGACAAGAGTTGTAAAGAGAAAACAAAGTCAAGAAAATTTTCAAGGGACTACCACATAAATATGTGTAGCCTAGGAATTAAGTTATTTAAATTAGGGAATGAAACAGGTTTTCTTAGATGATCAATCAATTCTTCCTGTTATTATCATCCAATGAAATTGCTAGGGATAGGCAAATTATACTTCAATTTCTGCCTGTTATGCTTTGAGGCACTGACCCGAATTCCATCCTATTATCCTTTGAAATGAATCCAATTATGCTTATATATTTTAAGCTTTACTCAAATATCAAGTTACATGTACATGCATCTATTATAATTGCAATATTATAATAATGCCAGAATCTGAAAAAGTTTTCAGACTTTGAGTCACTGAAAAATAGTATAGCTTAAGCCATTGGACTGATCACCACACTTGCATAGGTCACCACACTTGAGTAGGTAGGTATTATAAGCAGTTGGGTTATTGTACTAGTAGTCGAGATCATGTGGTCAGCGAGAAATTTTTTGACCCAATATGCTCCAATTATGCCAGCATAATAATTTGCCCTATTATGCTCCAAATTATGCTATCATAATTTGCCTAGCCCTAAATCGCTCATAGTTCATCTGTATCTTTTCCCCATTTCTCCCGTTATGGAGTGTTAGTGTAACCATTTTCCTTTCTTTACTGTATTGTTATGACTGTGTAACATCTTTACTACCATGCACACACACATGTGCACATGCACATCAATGATACTAATCTAGTAGACATAATTTGTTCACACTAAACTCCGATATGTGTCCATGATATAGACACAAATTAAGACCATATGCTTCTTGACATAGCACCCAACCCACAATGTACATGGCTTGATTGATACTTGTTGTGATTACTTAAAATTATTAATCATAAAACTATACATAATGTATTGTAAATGACAATTATTAGTCAAGTTCACAAATTTTTATAGATAGCTGTAGATGAACAAAAATGTTAAGAATTAATACTCCTATGAGTTAATAGTAATTTTTAATTCAAGAATGCATTACAAG